TTTTTTTTTTTTTTTTTTTTTTTTTTTTTTTTTTTTTTTTTTTTTTTTTTTTTTTTTTTTTTTTAATAAAGACAGAAAAGGCTTAGGACAGGTGGAAAACAACGTCATCTGCTGTCAGATGAAATCTCCACGAGCACGATTGATACGGCACTGAAAGCCATACTTGTGTTTGTTCAGGATAATGGATGCAAAAGGGGCCAACATTTAATTATCTGTGCACAATGTATTATTTCAGTAACTCCCTAACCTCACAACTGTGAAACAAAAGGTGCAGCAGTGCTATATTAACGTTGAGCTGCTGCAAATCGAGGGTGCCGGCAGCCGCAGCTGACCCACTTCTGTCCCCGGAAAGGGAAGGGCCCTTAGGTTCACTGTTTCCCTCTTACGAAAGTAGATCTATAAAATAAAAATACTTGGGAAACGAGAGGTCGGAGCAGAAAACAAAAACCCACTGTGGTCTGTCCTACGCTGTACATCGTGTTTGAACTTTGCATTAGCACTCATCCATTTGTCAAAGGCTTTCTAGTGTCTGGCACCGTGCTTATTTATTTATTAATGCTTTTTATTTTGAATGACTTCCAAACAAAGAGCTGATAAAACAAAAGGTCCTTTTATTAAACCCGGGACAAGATTGGTGGAGTTGATGGGTTCCCTTGGATGCTTGGGGAGATTGAATGTAGGCCCCAGCAGAATTCTTTGTGTTTGCATAGGTGCTTCTAAAAATTATGTGCGACCCGAGGTAAGAATAATCTTAAAGCAATATGGAGTTACTGAAACCAGGGAGTCAGTTCTGGCTCCTAGAACCCGCTCTTCGCCCAGGAACACGATGCTTGTTTTACAGAGAGTCCTTGTTCTGAGTCCACAGCCATTTTTCTGTGTTTAAATTAATTCCTGGTTTTATGTTCACCAAGTTTAATTGGTAGATTCCAAAACACGACAGCAAATAAAATCTGTTAATCCTTTAGCCAAGGGATGAAGGAACGCTGAAATATTTCAATTGTTTCCTTGCAGGACCAGCTGAAGCAGTGCTTCTCCAGGCAGCCCCCGGGAGCGAAGGACACGGACACGCTGGTGCAGGAGCCCGACAGCCAGTACGGGACCTGGAACGAGCAGCGGCACAGCGGGGACAGGTAAGGGGGAGCCGGGTCCCCGCCGCCCCGCGCCCGCGTCTCTCAGCCCAGCAAGGAGAAAGACCCTCGGTCTGGGTGCGTGCGTGTGCGCGTGCTCGGCTCGTCTGCACTGCCCGCTCAGTCTCGGTGACTGTGCAGTTTCCTTAGTCTGTAGGTGAAGAAATATTTCTTCCATATCTGCAAATTGCAGTAAGTTTTGAAATTTAAACTCCATCCTCCAGTGAGAACGTGGCATCGCACTTCTATAAGCAACGACAAAACCTGCTTGGACTGGAAATAGATTTAGCCAGTCTGGTGGTGAGCAAAACACAAGCGAGATGCTGCTTTTTTAGTGCTAAAATGGTAGAAAGAAGATATGGGGAAAAAACAGGTTTTCTCAGTAAATACACCACATGGCTTTGACTACGTAAGCGTAGGTAAGAAAACTTTTTTTTTTTTTTATGCTTTGTGCTTGGAATTATAATTATAAATGTACGTTTTCACATTTAGAAAGTGCTTACCTGCTTGTGTGGCGTGTGCCTCTGATGCCTTCTGGGAGGGCTTGTCTAGAACGGCCTGATCTCCTCCCTCGCAGGCAGGTGAGGAGGTCTCTGGTTGTGGTTAGGGTATGCTAACAGGTTGGGGGTTTGCTCTGTATTTTTATCACTTCGGGGCTCTCCCATCCCAGTTTCCTTGGCAGAGCCCCTTTACGGGGCTGCTCCGCACACAGCGCCGCCTCCGACAGCCTCGGTGTGTTCCAGGGATCCGCGGGGCGCCGTGGCCACCCCTCATCAGCTCTGGAGCATTTTAGTGGGGTGAAATGGAGGATGAAATGGAATATGGGTTGAACGGAAGCTTTTATTACTGACACTTTCCTGTTATTAAAGCGATTTAACGACATAAACCTAGAGCACTGAAGTGTGAGGGTTTTTTATAACTTACACCTGTTGTGTAAATTGTAGCTTGATCTCCACTGTTGGAGGCAATATTCTATCTGCTCAGTGTAGTATGAAAATAGCATCTTATCTGGGTTGGTTTTTTTGGTTTTTTTTTTTTTAATGCTGTACTTGTAGAGATCTTACAGCAAACATTAATGTCAATTATGCTTGGTGTGTTCTACACTCGAGAACTGCGTGTTATAAATATTTTATTGCTTATGAAATCGGGGTAGCTTTCAGCTTGAAGTTCAGCGAGCTAAGTGACGCGCCAACAGTGGCATCCAAGTCTTCTGTAAAATTAACTTTGATTTCAGTATGTTGTAGACACTTTCTGAAATCAGTTTCTTAACAAAGGTGCTTGTCTCGGCTCCAAGCCAGGCAGCATTTGAGTCTTATCTCAAACCTGGAGGATTCTTCTTGATTAGAAAAGCTCCACCTGAAAGTGCTGAAGCGTTGAACTCGGTCCCCATGTCCTGGAATTTTGTTACCACTGTGAGAAATATTATTGTTGCCTTTGTTTACAGCGTAGCGGTGACAGTACAGCGACTTTTCAGCGTTTTGCCACGCTCTTGCTCTGCTTTAGCTTGACTTAACGGTTCGTTGTGGGGAATTACTGGTGTATTAATTCAAGCCCTTGGAGAGGACTGAGAGTAACATCCTTTTAAATATTAAATGAATAATGGAAATTTTCCTGGAATATATTGAGACTGCATTTTGTTTGCAGTTTATTTTTTATGAAGTAGGAGGCCCTTGCCAGGACAAGTGCCGACATTCTCCTCCCCTTGCCGTGGGTGATTCCAGCACGTCTCTGCGGCCGGCCGCCTCTGATAACTCAGCTTTCCTGTTTCCCCTGGCTCGCTTCCCTTGGCTCTCGCCGGCCGTGGGGTCCGTGGGGCGCTCCGGGCCGTGAGCTGACCCCCCTGGGCCCGGGGAGGGCGGCCGGGGAGCACCGTGGCGGCAGCACCGGCCGCGGCTCCCTTGGAGGAGCTGCCGCACTCCGGCAGTTTCCATCCCTGGAGCGATTCTTTTAGCCCGTTTGGGAGCGTTTCAGTAACGTATCTGTGAATGAACTCATTTTCTCCGAGAGAGGAGCGGAGTTTTAAAATAACCCCCCCTGACTACACAGCACCAGGATAAATGTGGTGGTTTTCCTAAATAAGCTGTTAGGGAGGTGGAGGAAGGACCAGGTTCAGCCAGAACTAAGTTGCTGCTGGAATAAGCGCAAGGGGCTGCACTTGGCTGTTGCAGTGGGCTTTGGCAAATACCCGCTTAGGAGGGAAGGAGATGGTTTAATTTGGAGGTGTTAATTGGGTTTTTCTTCGCTTATCTAAAAGATTGTTATTTTCTTTTTTTTTTTCCTCAAGTGCTTTAGTAAGCTCTTCCAAGTTGACATCATAGAAAATTCTTACTTTGGGATCAGGACAGGCTTCATAACGCAAAACAATCCTCTGTCATAGCAAAGGGACTGTGCGTTCTAGATCATGGATTTATACAGGCCTGACTTCATAAGGCTGTAGCCCTTCGTTTCTTCAGATCCTTTAAGCAAGACTAGAGCTTTGAAAAGAAAAACCCACTGTAGTGTATCAGCTACCCCCTACAGGTGGGACTTTGCAGTTACAGAATATAAAAGGGCATTTTTGTGTGGATGCTGCTTCTGTGACGGCTTAGGCAGATAGCGAGAGCTGCATTTCATTCTAATCCCTCGGCAGAGTTACTGTAAACAGTAGAATTCCTTTAGTTTTTGACTCCTGATTTCACACGATGAAGCAACGCATTTTTTTATGGCCTCTTGGCACTGTCTTGCTAAAACTAATTATATTTAATTGCAATAGAAAATGAAGCTTGATCTTAGTTTATTGTCTATTTGTGATAACCATTCTGCTGATATTTGCATGCACCACATGAAGGATAATTTTTCAGAGGAGCAAGTGTCTGTAAATGACACTTGTTGGAAACTGTGGGTAGGTTATGGATATGCTCATAAAACTTGAAATCTTAATGAAGTCGTAGAAGAAGATTCGTAGTACATCCCAGTAATGAGGACTGAAAACATGTTTAAAATTTCGATATTTGACCATTATTCTGAAGGGAATTTCCCCCCTAATTTGCTGTTCAGATGGAAAGAATCCGCTGCGTGTAGCGGTGTTTGCACTCCAGCCATCCTTGGGATGAGCTGGGCCACAGCGAGTCGTGGTAACGGCGCTGTCGTGGTGCGAGAGCTCGGCAGGAGAATCCGTCAGACAGGTTTGTGAATGAGACACCACCTGTCGGTGCAAACGCATCTGGCTTTCCCTCGTAGCTTACTCTCTAATATTTCAGTTTGAAAAACTGTGCTAAGTCCTATGAGCCGAAGCCCTGGGATGTAGAAGGGAAGAGATACGCAAATCATCCAGGACCCTTTTAATATACATTTTATTTCCGTGAAAGGTGATAAGCGTGCAGATTGTCTTTCGTCTCCACGTTCTTCCATATTCTAGTGAATCTAAAACCTAATGCTGCAGATACCACGTATCATTCGAAGCAAAAAATGCTAGACAAGAACTTCCCCCCCACCCTGGAGCTCATTAGTAGCATTTCTTAATTATCCTGGGGCCCACTGCTGACAGAGGGAAGAGGCATTTGCTCTACTCATGTGCTGGAAACCCTCCGCGCAGCGTTTGCAGTGCCAGACTGGAAATGATATCATGTGCTGCAGCTTGATGGAAGTTGTTAGCCAACAGCGGTCTCCTGAGTGTTTTCCCCCCAGGATTGCTGTCGCTGTGGACTGGACCAAATACTAAAATCTGCCGTTTTAAAAAAGCGCATATAGTCATAACACATGTCCAGATTTGTTTTGGTTTAGAACAGTTTTCCGGGATACTTGCTCAGGAAGAGGTGCTTAGTAACAAAAGATTCTTGTTAAGAAGAGAAGAAAAATCAAAACCCCTTAGATACTTGAGGTTTTGTTTTTTAAACTATAAACTCCTAAAATTAGAAGCACGACAGCCCTGCTTTTGCTGACGGCAGAGCCTGACTGTGTTTCCTCCAGTCTCCTGCTGTTGGAAGGCATCCTCCAACCTACGTGATGAAGGGACACAGGTGACTGCCTGCAGCTTGCAGTCCTGGCACTACAGCTCCTTTCTGTTCCTCTCGGTGAGGGGAAGGTTGCTGGGAGTACCTGGGGGGCATCACGCAGTGGGGCGCAGGTCCTGCCCCCCTCGGTGCTCTCCCCAGGCACCCCAAAGCCTCTGCTTGGGCAGCCCAGCCGTCGGGTGCCACCTGCTGCCCCCCTCTCCCCTCAGCGCTCTCCAGTGTCCCCCAGAAGTAAAAACCTCTGGCTGGACGCGCAGCGCGCCCTGAAGCGTATCCCGCAATAAAACGGGCCAGTTTAAGCAGCTTTTTTTAAGCGTCGTGCTCTTTCTCTCGTCCCATTTGTGTGTGGATATTTGAAGGAGCCTTTGTGCCGGGGAAAAGAAACCCCAAGCAATAAAAGCACGTTACAATCAAATTATTACGATTTATCTGCATACGTGCGTTAGTCAATGCGCCGTAAATCCACGTGGGTAAAAAGCTGTGACAGAGAAAACCAGCCCTTGCTGCTGGTACCTGCTGCCTCCAGAGATGCTGCTGTCACCTGCGGCTGTAATTTGAGTGCGACCTTTATTTATCGTCTGCTGGGTATGTGTGATCCGAACAGGACTTGCGCGTGTATTGGTTCGCCCCGAAGTCTCAGAGATTTCATTTTAATTCACAGCTTTGTGCCCGAATCTCCTTCCTCGGAAAACGATGTCATTTCCCCGAGAAAGCAACCTCCTAACAGCCACCCGTCGTCACTGTCCTCTCAGACAGAACCTGCCTCCCTGGTTGATCACCATGACTTCTCCAAAGACCAAAGGAGCACGAGTTTGGACCGTTCCAGCACTGACATGGACTCCACAGATGGGACTGATTTACCTCCTCCGGGAGACACCTACCCTGATGAAAAGACGACGGATTTCTCTTTCATTGATGTAAGTTACCCTCACGGGAAACAGATGTTCTCCTCCGGTGTTAACTGTGCTGGTACCTGCACTAATGGCAGCAAGGCAGGGTCTCCTGGAAACTTTGCACTCAATCTTCCTTTTATCACATTGAATTTTCCCAGCTGACTCGCTTCCTGAAAAGCTCAAGATCAGTGCGACGAAGTTCTTTGAGTTCCTGCAATGCTTAGGTTCCGAGAGATTCCAAAAAGCTCTTGGCCTCAGAAAATGCCTGCCAGTGCCTTAATAAAGTTGCTCTTTCTCTTTCTGCCCCCTCAGTGAGCTGTGACAGAAGAGTTAAATGGTTCTGTGAACGTGGGAAACGTAATTAAATAACACAAATAGCTGGTGGCTGCTGTGCTATGAGCCACGCAGATTTAAGGCTATGAAGATTTACTAATATTTTTCTTATTTACAGTTGGCCTCTTTCTGTAGGAGCTTACAGTTGCATGCGAAGTGGGTTTTTCCACCCTTAAGTATCTCGCAGCTGGTGGACGATCAGTAATTTCTGGCCATACGCTTAGGTGAGGTTTAGTGTGCTTTGGAAGCACTAACACGACCGTAGTTTTTCAGTAGAGCATCTAGGAAGCATTGCTTTTTTCTTTAGGGTTGGGGCACCTTTTTTTTATTTATTTTATTCTGAGGCACCTGATGGCAGTTTTACTGGTAAGTGCAAGGTTCCCAGCTTAAGCGGATGGTGCACGTGCTGGGGAGGGCTCGGAGCTGCCTCGCCTCTCGCAGTGCCTCGGCTCCTTCTGAACGGAGGAGTCTGCTCTGGGCCGTAGGAAGGTGCCGGCGGGTCTGTGGGTCTGGTGCTGCAGAACTGACTGTTCCAGTCGGCCGGTCCCTGCGGGGGCTGTCGGCCCGAGCCTCCGGCCAGCTCCGCTCCCCGCTGCTGCCGCCAGCCCTGGGGAGCCGCAGAAGCCTGCGTCCAGCTAGGGCCGGTGCTGCTCTCGCCTGCCAGCCCGCTCCGGCTCCGGAGGGGAGGCCGCCTTTGGTGGTCCGTGGCTTTGGGATCCCCGCCGGCGTGTGCCGTGGGCACGCTCTGTCAGGATTCCTTCCCCACGTGCCCCCGGGCTCCGAGGAAGCGTTGGGAGCTGTAACAGGGGGTTCTGCAGGCAGCAGAGGTGCTGTGCTGCTCCCTGGACAGCTAAAGGGATCCCTTTAAAACAGGAATAGCTGCGAGGACAGCTGGCAACATGCTGGTTTAAGGAGCAGTTTATTCCTAGCCTGAACTCTCTTGAAAAGAAACAAAACCACATCTTCCAAAGCACAAGAGGAGGCTCAGTGATGTTTGCTGATTACAGGCAAGTCTCTAAGAATAAATTGCTTTAAATAAATACATAAATTACAGCCCCTTCTTTTGCTCTGTAAGTGTTCCTGCCTTACTGTGGCGCACAAAAGAGGTGGATGTGTTTGAAGTGGCTGATCGCAGAAGCGCTCTGAATGCCGTGACACTCAGCTTGCGCTCTCCTCGTTGCTGGTGAGGGGCTTGAAATTTCTGCGGATGGCAGCGCAGCCTTCTGAGGGTGCAGAGCCTCATTTCTCTGCTCGAAGCCTTCAATTTTAGGGGACAGGACACAGAGCAATGAGACCGCATCGCTCCGCTACAGGAGTATTTCGTGTAGTCGCTCTTTTCAGATCCAAATCGCCTTCCTGGCCTTCGGCTGTTACCAGCTAGCAAGGCCTGTACTCTTAAAACACTCGCTGAACCAAAAATCCTATTTATCGCAGTTATTTTTTTATTAATTTAGGGAATACTGAAAATAATGCATGCAGATCAGCTGTCCACAGCCAAGCGAGATCAAAGAACCAGCCTTGCACCCAGTTAGCCACAATGGAGCATTTCCTCATCATAAATTCTCTTTAATACAGTTTTAAGTAACTACAAGAATAAGAATCAGGCAAATATATATAGTTAAACTGAATGGGTTAATGCATTAAAGTAGGTTGGGAAATCATTATGGGGGCGATGACTTCATTTTCAGGCTGTTTGAAAGTAAAGGCTTTGTTTCTTTTTATAGCAAACCACTGTTCTGGACTCCAGCGCGCTGAAAACTCGTGTACAGCTCAGCAAAAAGAGACGCCGCCGGGCTCCTATTTCCCACTCTCTCAGAAGAAGCAGAGGGCTGGAGTTTGAAAACAGGTTTTCTTTGACGGAAGAACCAGATAATACCTGGATGTTTAAAGATTCCACAGGTATCCCTCAACTGTCTGAAACTATTAACTGTAGTCAGCTCGCTTGCAGGGGCAGGAATTGCGAAGTGGTGTAAAGTGCCTGTTACAACGTCAGGGTTTAACGGGAGCTTCCTCGTCATCCTCCGAGCCAAGGCTTCCCCTCCAGTCCTTGGGGTGAGGGCACCTGCGGTAGCCAGACCTGCAGAAGGCCAAAGCCAAGGGGAGCTTCGGTGCAATTTCCTTTAGTTTCTGGCTGCTGACTTAAGAGAATTTTGTTCACCGAGAAAACACAGAGTTTGGGAACTGCTGCAGTTGGATCATTCTCTAGCATGTTCTTTATATCTAAGCCTGCGTGTTCTTGGTAAGAGCAGCTCTAATTGCTCATATTCGACAGGTGCTCATAAATATTCTTTCTTTCTAGCATCTGTAAGTACTACAGGACGAAAGAGGCCTGGTTAAGGATAAATCAACTCCTTCAAATCCGTTCTGCTAAAAAGTCCCCTCCAGGCCTGTCCTGTTCCTTAGGATGCAATAAGGAAAGTCACCGGGCGTTGAAAATCTCTGCTGACGGAAGGGAGTGCAAGGCTCAGTGCGTGTGCTTGTGCTGCAGATAACCTCCGCTCAGGGAATAGGGGGTATCGCAGGCGTTGCAGCCTGACCTGTAGAGAGGCCAGTGACGGTTTGGTAACCGAGGGGACCCATTAAAAAAGTCCGTTTTGTGACCTGCCATCCCTGCTTTCCTGTCAAGCCGGTGACCGCAGGGAAGAATGTGTGATCAAACGGAGCTCTGCTGTAGCCTCCCACTCGGTGGAAGGGCTGTTTTTTCTGTGTTGTTTTGGCGCACGTCTAACGGACCTAAAATATTTCAAGGCCTTACCTTGATAAGAAACGCTGTACTGGAAGCTGGAGTGTAATTATCGGCGAAGGCAACCACACCGTCGCGTCTTTCCCCGGAGGACTCAGACCCTTTGTATCAAAGCCCTGCTTTGAGCAGGGGAGGACCAGATAACTCTCAGATGTCCCTTCCAATCTAAATTAATCTCGCGTTCTGTGATCAGCTGAGATGTTTAGACACAGAAATACTCATTAAATTACGAGTACCTTCTGCTCCCTCATCTCTGTCAGCCAGAAATCTCTCTGTTGCTGAGTACTTAGTAGGTTGGTTGCTTTCATCTCTATTGAAGCGCTGAGCTCAGTGTGTTAATATTACTCTTAATACGTTTTTGAATGGAGGGAGAGGTCTGGTACATGGTACGGATGAAAAGGCTGCTGACTAATGGGGTTTTTTTTTTCCCCCCCTCTGCATTTTTTTTTTTTCTTTTTAAACAATTAGAAGAGAAGAGAACTATGCAACAGGAAGATTCCGATGAGGAAGACAAGACACAGCATACTGCGAGGTCATCTTCTGTCCAAGCTCAGCGGCTTCCCGTGTTCCCAGGAATGGATCACTCTGCTCTCAAGGTGAGCACGGGCGGGATGGATCGGGTGAGACTTCGAGCAGCTCAGCAGCTGCAGGTGCTCCCCGGGAGCAGAGCCAGGGAAACGTTGCTGAAGATGACTGAGGTGGTGTTGGGGCT